GGGGGGGGGGTGTCCCTGAAGGGGTGATGTCATGTGGGAGGAGATGCTAGACTGAGGTGACACCCCGATGACTAACACCTCACACCTATTCTTCTGAGACACATACAGAGCAGTGCAACACAAAGATTTTTACCCTTTTTTTGTGCATGTCTCATTTCTCTAGTTTCTGTATCTGTTCATTTGTTACATCTAATAGAAACTATATCTGTATAACCATTTAAACGCATGTGTACACTGGAAGAAATGAGTGTCATCTGCGTGTTGCCGTGCTTGTTAATATTACATTGCATTGGTGCAATAAAAGCCTTTACAACACACTGCAATGCACCTTTGCATTTCATCACAGTGGAAAATGTGTGACTATTTAAAACAATGAACCTAAAGCGCTTTTGTTTGATTGTCGTTTGTGTGTCTGCAGTGGTGAGAGCGGTTCTGGGAAAACAGAGGCGTGTAAACACATAGTGAGACACCTGACAGCCCGATCCAGCCCCAAAGGCTTTATGCTGGAGCCCAGAATGAAGCACGTAAGTCTGGACGCATCTCGTCTACAAGATACTTTCCTCTGCTTCACCCTTCAAGCAGTCAGTGAAAAATATGATGACTGTATGTCCTGGGTATGAATCCTGAGTCCTCTGTTGCTCTCAAAGTAAAATGCTGAGAAAATAATCTTGTAATACGCATTGTTGGTTTGTTTTCAGAATGTTTATTATTGTAGTGGTGTGTTATTTCTTCCTCTTTTCAATCTGTGGTCAAAAAGGTAGTGCACAGTGTAGTGAAGCAGCGTTCATGACTGTGTGAATATGTCCTGCTGTTCTTTTATTGCAGTGATTGAAGAGAGAATAGATGTATGGATTGGCACACTGCAGTATGGAGAGTTTAGTCGTAGTCTTTTCTTCACTGCTTGATAGCTGTTTATTTGTCACACACACCACTGGAGCAGTCAAATACCATCAGCATTTACAGCCTAAAATGGGAGTGATGATAAAGAACACAGAAGATTTACAAATACTCATATCCCCCTTTGTGGCATATTTTCTTGTGAATCAGGAGAGCTTACAATCAAAAAGCATCTTCTAGAGCAGAAAGAACAAATGAAAAAAAGCTAACTGAATTTAGTACCCTCCTACACAGTTGATGTGAAAATGCAAAATCATATTAGTGTCCCACGTAGCGTGTTGCTGCTTGCTGCGTTCCCAGTTGTGGTTTTAGGTTTGATCCTGGCGCTTAACACATGATTCACCTGCTGTGCACTCAGTCCAGCTATCAGTTAGTCTATCAGTCTGCCAGTTGTGTAACAAAGCAGTGTGTAGCCTGGAAGGGCTGCGTTCTGATGAAGTCATCGTTATGTAGTCGATATCTGGGTCAGCTCGCTCCCTTATCATTCCGGGACACAGAAAATATTGAATATCCCAGTAATGGATGTATATTGACATCTAGTGGTAGAATAGAAGCAGGACTCCTTTTTGTTTTTAAAAGAGATACCATGTGTAAGTTATATAGAAATATTATGGGAAAGAAAGCACTCCACTGTGAAAGTCATTCTCAAAGACACTGTGAAGCAGTGGTAACATGTCTGATGAAATATGCAGGTGAACTGTATTCTGGAAGCCTTCGGTCACGCAAAGACCCCGAGGAACAGCAACTCAAGTCGCTTTGTCAAGCTGTTGACCATCCAGTACTGTGAGAAGAGGAGGACGCTGCTCAGAGGTAACCTGCCCTCCTGCTAATATAACCCTGGAGGTTATCTTTACTTCCATTTTCATTCAGCTTTAACTAAAATGCAATGCTCGACTCTTCGAAATTCATATATTCTGTTTTAGTGTTTCTATAAATAAAATAAAATGTTTACTTAGTTTTTTTTGATTCTACAAAAAGTGATCTTGATGATTTTAATGAATATTATTTTTGCCAGAATAACTGATTAAACACTTTTCACAGCATAGATTGTTATTTTTATGATAATGGTGAATTATTATGATAATGCTTTATCGACCATAGTCATAAACCGAACAAGATTTGCAGAACATCCAAGAAGAGAACCATAATGATACAGTTATCTATGGATCAGCTGCACAGTAGTGAAGCACCAGCAGGGGGCAGTGTAAGCCCATATGTTCACTGTGTTGGTTTTTTTGTTTTTTATGCTCCATTTTGTCACCTTATTTTACTCCAGTTAATTTGATCAGTGGCCATTCAGTTGTGGCCACAGTTTGATGTGTTTGCCGCTACTACAAATGAAATGCAATATACACAATGTTATTATTAATGTATAAATCATGTCTTTTTTTTCTTTTTTTTTTTAAAGCCCGCCTGTACACCTACATGCTGGAGAAGTCCCGTCTGGTCCACCTGCCTCCTCAGCAACACAGCTTCAGAATCTTCTACTTGATGGCTGAAGGCCTTTCAGCTGAGGAGAAGAGTGCACTTTATCTCAACAATGTCCTGGCTCATAGGTAGGTTGGACGTTAATCAGAGTTGTCCAGTTTTGTGTTTGGGCACAACAATTTTAAATGACTTATCTAGATCTAATGGTTCCTACATGTACATGCCACTTAAAAGCTCCAGAGCTCACAACCTGAGACCAACCCTGATAGTATAACACATTCATATTGGATATCATAAAAGATAGTGTGAGTCTGTGTATGCATGCGTATGTGAGTTTAAAAAATATGTCCGTACATTTACATGAGGCCGCATTTCTTTTCCTTTATCTGATTTTTCTCTGAATCTGTGTCGCTCATTCCAACTCATGCAAGTTCTTATTTTGTGGAAGTAACGTGCAACTGAGTTACTGTTACTATACTAAGACTCTACTGCTGCACATCTATTGTGATAACCACTGACCTCAGTCGGTCTGTTTTGGAGTCTGAGAAGCACGCCAGCCCTTCTGGCATGACACCAACCCATTGTATCTCGATGTGTCTCTGCTCCATGTGCGTGATACAGTTCTGCAGATTTAAAACCCTTTTCGCCGGTTCGCCTCAAACGCAGCTCACTCCACACAGCGGCTGTGCCTGTATGTAGCTGTGCGCAGAACTGCCTCGTAAATCTACTGGTTCTGGGACTCTCTCATCCAAAGATATTCACATAAATTCCTGCTGAACACACGGGTACATGTTTGGATCCAGTGCACCTGTCATTTTATGCTCATCGCAAGGTTCAGCCTCGCTTTGTTCTCTATATGTATTTTTGTTTTTGTGAAATATTCATCAAAGTTGCTCCCATCTTTCTGTTTCAGGTATCTCAGCGGAGGGCTTGCCGGAGAGAACCCTCCAGTGGCCACAGCTTCTACCCAGAGCAGGGAACATCTTGCAGCAGTCAAGCAATCCCTGCGAGCGCTGGGTTTCAACAAGCAGGTATTGATTTGTGCAGCAGCACAGCCTTCTATTGAACCAAACGTTGCTGACAGCTGGGAGATGTGAAAGTGTTGATGCCACAGACCCTGAAGTCACATGTCACTTATTAGGTCATTGATGAGATTTTTCACCAGACTTTGGTTTCTAAGCATCTGAGTCTTGGGGCTGGATCATCCAAACGATGCAGTCGACCAAGGTGGACCAAAAAGCTGCAGTAAACTTGTCCAAACTCTGGAATCATAGTGGAAAACATGTGGTTTGCAGCCTTCGGGAGATCTAGAAGATTAAATATTTTAAGACCAAAACGTTGTCCCAATAGTACTACACAGTCACATGATGAGAATTTCCTGCACATAATTCAATGTTCAGCCATTAAATAACAGACTGGGGGATACTGAGGGCAGCCAAGGACCCTGCTATTATGTGCTCCCAATTCAAGCACACAAGAAGCATTTGATCAAGCATCTGTTTAAAGACCATATTAAATGTGTGACCGAATGCAAGAGTTGATTTATGCGCACAGCGTGCATGTAGTGCTGTTGGTACAGTCCGTCCTGTGCACCACCAGCTGTGCTCCCAGCCCCATTATCAGGTTCTATTCTTAGATTCCCAGTCAGCATCTATCAGCAGTGAGTGACCATCATCTCACCTTTTAATCCAGCAGCAGTCAATACACGCAGACATGGCATACGGGACAGAGGAACAGAGCAATAGATAGCGGTATTATCAGAGGGCACTACTGTCCACTGGATAAGAGAGCAAGGGACAGAAGTCGGGGCGGGGGAGTGGAAGCGATAGACCACCCATTGGTCTCTGTCTAAGCTCTCATCAGGGGATGACTCCCAGTCCAGACCTAAAGGTCAATCATCATTAACGCTCCCTATCGCTCCTTTTTCTCTCCCTCGGCCCCTTTCTTTGCCTTCCCAAGCGGGTCGGGAGGGGTGGAGGGGGTCTCTCTCTCTCTCTGTGTATAGAGTGTCAGACGGAGACTAATGCTTGTGTTTATCTCTGAGATATCAGCTCCAATATCCTGTCTTGAGAGAGTTCGCACGCAGACGTATTCACACGCGCACACGCCAGCGCACGTCTTCAAACTCAAACATCCCCCTCTCAGAGATTCAGAGCAGTGGGTAATGGGGTCTTCCATGAAGTGTCCTCTACTCAAGGGCACAAGGGAGAGTGTGGCAGAGGAGGGGAAGAAGTGTTTGAATGGAGGGAGGAGGGCTGACGCATCACAAGTGTTGGATTTTCTCAAATTGATGCTTTTTTTTTGGCAGATTTTGCGATCCAGTTCGAGTTATTCTATATTTGTTTTGCTATCAAGAAAAACCCACAACAAGCAAAAGACAAAAATGCGTAGGTCAGTCTTTCGGTGCGGTCCAACTTTTCTACCCTGTCTGCCACTCTGCCCCAAGCCCATCTGGTCCGACTGAAAATGGATCCTAAACATTGTTTTTTATTTAATCAAAATAATATCCTGGAGCAGCGTATGTTGTAGAAATGTTTAACATGAGTTCTAGTGCACTTGTTGGAGACTATTTTAGGCACCAGGATGCATGTAGGACTGGTAAAATAAAAACTCCAAGGGTCATTTTAAATAAAGAACCCAGCCTCTAGTGTGGAAGTGTGGTTAATTTATGTGTTTTGGACAATGATGGAAGTTTAAGACTGAATCTAATACGGTAGTTTTTCACTACATCAGCTTGTTAGAAAGATCATTCCATCAGTATGATTCATTTTTGGTCTTTACAAGGGATTTGTTGACATCAAGATAAGCATAAATTCTACCACTTAAAAAAGAAGTTAGCCTTTCATGTAGTGCAAGTTTTATATTGAGCAGTAAAAACGGTTCTGATCGATCTACATGACGCATCTCCAGCTTCTGGTTGTTAATATTTTATTCTCTCTAACAACTTCTCCTTCTCTTTTCCACTTTCTGCCAGGAGGTCGACTCAGTCTTTACGCTGCTATCTGCTGTGCTCCATATTGGGGATCTGCGTTTTACTGCGCTGACAGATGCAGATACGGCCTTCCCTTCTGACCTGCAGCTGCTGGAGAGAGGTCAGTGCTCCCCCCCCTCCTCCCCTGTCATAACTGAGCCCACATTTCCACCTTGTTTTGAGGTGAGCCAGAGTGAGGGAGGAGGGTTACGCCACACTCACTCGTGTTGTTTACCTCATCACCGTAGCTCCTCCCTCTCTCTCTGCCTTGGAGTCCTGCTCGGCAGCTTGCCAGGAATAGATAAAGGCCAGACAGTCACCTGTTTGGTAAGCCGCATTTTCTGCCAAAACGTATCCATGGTGAGGCGAGATCGTCCCTACACACACTTTCTCCCAATAATGGGCTCAGCGTTTTCTCTTTGTCTCCCTCCCCCTGTTCTCTCATTATGCAACCGCTACATGTGCTCTTGTGACCTGTGACCTTTTTGTAAGATGGTAAACAAATGACATCAGCGCCTGAATAGGGGAACGAGCCGCTCGTTGTCAGGGAGATGTGATGTCACGACTGGTGATGTCAGCAAAGGGGTTTCTGGGTTGCTGTCACCTGTTTTTTTTTTTTTTTTTCCGGCTTGTTTATGAGTTCTGCTCCGAAATCCAATGATGACTAATTGCTGCCAGCTCCGCCGATCGGTTGAATCAACTGTCGCAGAGTTCAGGATGTTGTGCTGTCAGCGTGATATCATCATCAGAGCAGTGCCAGAGCAGACTGGGTTCTGGGATGTTAACAGCGCAAACCTCTCTGATGCTCAGTTAACGTTTAATGCTGTTATTTTGATGTTTTTACATCCTGTCATCATGTCACTTACGCTGCCTCCTCTTTCTCTCTCTGTCTGTCTGACATAGTTGCTGGATTGTTGCAGGTGTCCTCCAATGACTTAGGCGCCGCCCTCACCTCTGACGTTCAGTACTTCAAAGGTATTAACAATACCAGTTCTTGCCTATGTTGGACCCTCCCTGTTTCTGTTACCAGATGAAAAATCTCCACTTATACATTGTCCTTTCAATGCGATGCAGAAACTTCATCTGTGTCTGTCTCATCCTGGTAGGAGGGTGTCAATTACCCATTTCCAACTGGTAGGAAACCATGGGGTACACCCAGAGATTATGTATCTCATCTGACCTGGGATTGGCACTTGAACCACTAGGAGGAGCTGGAAAACATTGCTGGAGAGGGAAATCCAAACTTAAGCAAACTTTATATAAGCAGCAGATAATTGATGGATGGACAGATGTATAGGTTTTTCTTTAGAAATAAAGTAGTCGATACACAAGGTGAAATCCCAGGGAGATTTTTCCTTTCAAAGATACGTGAACATCCTCCAGAGAAAGCCGATGCCAACCGTCATGTACTATCATCCGAGCTGTCAAGTGCCAGAAATTGTGTTCTCATGTCCCCCCTTTTTTTTTTATCAGGTGATGTGATCACTCGTCGCCACACAGTCGAGATGTCAGAGCAATATAGGGACCAGCTTGCCAAAGCTATCTATGGACGCCTCTTCAGCTATCTGGTCAACAGCATCAACGATTACCTTCAGGGACAAGATGACAGCATTGGGTATGGCAGTGTGTTCGTGTGTGTGTGTGCGTGTTGGAGGGGTGCGTTTATTCACATGTGTACCAAGGAGGGTGTTTTTACTGTAAACCACGAGAAAAAAATTCTTTGGAAGCCCAGACCGTTGATATTTGTTATCACCAACACTGCCAATAAAGCGTATCTGTCACTCATTCAGAGCTTCGGGGAGTGACAACACCAATATTGTACCATGACACATAGTTTAGAGTGGAGTATTGTAATAGTTTACATTGCGTGGCATGCAGGTTTAGGCATGTGAACAGAAATGAGAACACTGAGCAACAGGGCAGAGATGGAGGACACACCCAAGGATTATCTGGAGGTCACAACACACACTAAAACTTAAATACACACACACACACACACTCACACACACACACACTTAGCTCACACTCACACTCACACACACACTCACACTCACACTCACACACACACACACACACACACACACACACGTACACACACACTCCCAGGTGAAGGTCAGCAGATCCTTGCTCTTGTTGATGTTGTGAAGTCTTATCACACTCTGACAGATAACCCGGGCTACATCTTCTGGAATGTGTTTGTGCTTTGCCTTGTTTACACACCGACCGCAGAATGTAATAAATTTGTCAACCACACTCATGGCACACCCCTTTCAGATGTTATTGCACACACACACACTTCACACAAGCATGATAGTTCTTGTCAAAGTGACACAAGCAGAAAAGTTCTCACGTTGGTCCTGGAAAATAAAGGTGGTAATATCATAAATAACCTTTCGCTCTGTTTATGTTTTGTTTCCAGTGATCCGGCCTTGGAAATTGGTATCTTGGACATATTTGGGTTTGAAGAATTCCAGAGGAATGGATTTGAGCAGGTGGGACAGTGTTTTATTTTTTCCATTTCAATCATTTCCAAAAAGAAAAAAAAACCCAATAAAAATCAATACCGTGTTCCTCCTCCCTTCAAAATGACAGATTATTTCTCCTAATCAAGCCAAATGCATTCCCCGCGGCTGTTCTGAGCTATAAAAAATCTCTCTAAATAGTAACTTGTAGTTTCAAACAGATCCTAATCAAATTGTGAAAATATTTGGAGCCGCTATCTGTTTCTGGCCGGACATTTTTGCCTGTAATTGTAATGAATGGGGTGAGGTCTGCGGCTGACTGTGGCGTGATTTCCAGCTGTCCTCGGATGAACCGACGGTTGACACAATGACTGTCTGTGTGCAACATGTTAGCGTAATAGGCGGCTTCAAAGCGGCGTGTGTTTGTGTGTGTATTACAGATGGGAATCCTCTTTATGCTGCAGTGTAAGTTCAGGTTTCTGGGGTCACGACATAAATCAATGCTGATTAGGGATTCCAAAATCAAATCTCAGCCCCAGCAAAGTTGCTCCAGATTTTGTTATTTTCTAAAGAAGAGTCTTTATTTGTCTCAGGACGTATTGCTTATATGATTATGCGCTACCAGAAACAAAGGCAGTTACCTAAGCAACGTCAAATTGAATAAACTGTGGATTTTTCAGGAAGTTTGCTTAACTGACAATTATGTTCAATATTCAGCAGTGTGGCTACAAACACAAATAAATCAATCTTACAATCTTATTATTATATAGTGGCAATCTGAAAATAGCACACCAACAGTTCCCTCCACTTAAAGCCGTAATTACGTACGACGAGGATCATACTGGCCGACATATTTTGGGTCCTCCATAGCATTCGATAGCTACATGTGGCAGCAATTTAATTCAATTCAATTATATTATATTTATGGCACCAATTACCAACATAAGTCATCTCAGGGCACTTTTCAGAGTAAGGTCAAGACCTTGATGTCGGGAACCCAAATTATTTAAAAAAAGAAAATGTTTTAAGGCAACAGTGGGAAGGAAGAAATTCAGTTTTAACAGGAAGGATAACCCAGCAGAACTCGGTTGGGAAAGGCAGGCATCTGTCTCAACCGGTTGGTGTGAGCACTAAGAAACAAACAAGAGAACAATAAACTGAATAATAGACACCAAATTAGGGACATGTAATGGTAGCATAAGTGCATGAAGAGAGTAGAGGATATGGTGCGCAGTGCATCATGGAAAGTCCCCAGCAGCTCAGGCTTATTGCAACATGATGGCCATTAAAATCCGTGTATGTGAGGAGAAGGATTTTAAAATTCTATTCTTGATTTTATAGGGAGCCACTGAAGAGAGGCTAATATGGGAGAAAGATGATCTTGTTTTCACTGTCAGAACTCTGGCTGCAGCATTTTAGATGAGCTGGAGGCTCTTCAGAGAGTTGTTCTGTTGATAAGGAATTGCAATAACCCAAGCAACAAATGCACGGACTAATTCTTTAGTATCACTCTTGAGACGGGATGTTCCTTGTTTTGACAGCGGTGCACAGGTGATAGAAGGCCATCCTCGAGACATGTTGTATGTGTAGGAGCATGTCATGGTCCAAAATAACTCCAAGGTTCCTCCTAGTAGCGCTGGGGGGTAAGAAAAGGCAATCCAGTGTAACTATACGGTTAGATTGTGTCTTTCTGGGGTAAGAGTTGTCTAAATTTAAAAGAACATTTCAAGTCATTAAGTCACTAATGCCCAGTAGATATGGAACTAATTTGTTTTGTCTGGCTTTATAGTTAAATACATGTATGAAGTGAGAAGTATTGGTCCGCACACAACCCTGTGGAACGGCATCTCTAATTTTTGTTTACATCAAAGAATTGTCTTCTACATGAACAAACTGGAATCTAGCCGATAAATATTATTCAAACCAGTGCAATTATTTGAATTCCAAAAACAAAACCTCTGTAATAAAATGTTGTGATCATTAATGAAACTGTTGCTAAGCGAAGATTTTTGAGGATCCAAATCCTGACTCAAACCTGAACCATTTCTGATCACATAACTGCATTTCACTAACTTCACCAAGGATTTTAGGAATAAAGTGGAGGTTGGGTATCAGTCTGTTGTCTTAGTGGTTTAATTGCAGCAACCATGGAAGGATAGATAGATCAAATTTAATATAAAAAGCGTTAATTAAGTGAAAAAACCCATCTTTCTGCAGTCTATCTGTGAGACACGTTGATGGTTTAGATGAAACAACATTCAACGTTAGCTCAGAGAGGTCTGCACGAGAGAATCAGTCCAAATATAAATCAGGTCCACAGACGCCTCCAAAGCCACTACACTTGACAACAAATCCGTGACAACTGTGGGAGGGATGCAATGGATTTTTTTTTCTGTAATAGATAAAAATTTGATTTGTAAAGAAGCTTTGCAAAGTCAGTCCTACCAAGCACTAAAGGAACAAAAGGTTTTACAAAGCTGGGACTTTGTCAGCCTGGCTGCTGGGATAAAAAGAAAAGAGGGTTTTTCTTGTTTGCCTTTATTTATGGTAAATAATGTGCAGTTGAGGCATTATGGAGGGCTTTTATTATGTTACTAGATTGTCCTTACAAGTACCCATTTGTGAATTGCATGAAGAAGCTATCCTCCTCTTGATTTAGTGTTGAGTTTCGTACACAGTGAAGCTGCAGCAGTATTAACAAGAAAATCAACTTGTGTGGAAGTAATTTTAAGGTGGCTGCCCTCCATTGTATTGGCACATAGTACTGAAGTAAATCCTAATGAAATAATTTCCTTAAATTTGCAATATTAGATCGGCATCTACTATAATTGAATTGTTTCTCAAATGCAGTATTGTCCATTGTTCTCAATTCAAGCGTTATTGGTTTTGGTAACTTGTTTTTGTGCGCGTTGTGCACAAAAACAGTGTATTTAGTGAGAACAGGAAATGACATTGTACTCGACAATATTTCTTTTCTATTTTTCAGTTTAGTTTGATTCGTACAGAACAGCAATCTTGATTTTTCTTGATTGTTTTTTTTTGTCTGTTTCGCCACCCCTGTGTGTTTTTGCACGTACATGGAGCGTGCAGCTTATCTGTAATGGATGGTTGTTTTGCGAGTGTGTGGGTGATTTTATTGTATATGAACAGAGTACAACATGTGCAGCTCTATGCAGCTCACCTGTTATGGGCTGTAAATCTGTCATGTGCTCATCAAGCATGCACTGTTAATAGACTACTCCATTGTAAGACCAGCAGGGATCAGGCCGACAAGTAAGTGTGTGTGTATGCGTGTGTGTGTCAGAGTGTAATTCACGGTGCTCAAGCGGCTAAGTGCTTATTCCTGCTACTCAGAGCTTACACTTCCTCCCTGTGGAGCTACTGGTTTCTCCCAGCTTTTATTAAGTGCAGGATGTGTTTGTCTTTGTTTTCTTGTGTGACTTGGGTGTTTGTGTGTGTCAATAAGGTGACGGTGGTCTTACTCATCTGGATGTTCTCTAATCCAATCGTAACCTAGGGAAAGCATAACCTTTCCTCATCAGGTCATTCAAAGTGCCAACAGAGATTTTTAAAAAATAAAAAAAGGTAGCAGGGTAACAAAACCTGTAAAAAAAAAAAAAAAAACGAGGAACTGTCTCATGCCTCTTCTCTTCAGACATATTCTCCGCCGAGATCTGCCTATTAATAACCGCCTCCTCAAAACACACACCACCTATAGAGGATAGAAGAGGAGGAGCCACTTCTGAATAAACAAACACAATGATCTCTTACAGGAGACGCGACACGTCGGTGACAAACAAGCTCTGACATGTTTGTACACACGTGTGCACGTATGCAGAAACCTACACGAGTGCGCTCCCCACGCCCAGCATGATCGGGGTCATTAGAGCTTGTTAATTAGAACTGTGTTTGTCAGGGATGTGTTGTACCTGCTCAGCACTTTGCTAATGAGCTAACTCAATCAACCACCTGCTGGGACTAAGCCTTTAATGGACTAGACTAGCTCGGAGACAAAGCATAGACGAACAACGATGAAAGGAAAAAAAACAGGACTGTAGCCGTCTGCACCGTCAAACGGCTCCTGGATCAGCGGTTTTCGGTCGAGGGAGATGAGACCTAAAATGTGGGTCACGGCGTTGTTCTGACACCATCACATGACGGTGCTGAAAGAGGAGGAAATATCCACTGTGTTTGCTGGTTCTTCACACATCCGACACGTAACCCCTCATCGGGTCGTCGAGGTGTTTTTCTCTGATCTGCTTTTGTCTTCTCTCATATTAAGTTTTCCCCCAATCTATTGGAACAGCCACTGAATCACACCAGTTCAGCTGTAACACGCTGCCAGTTCAGAGCAACGACAGAAAGGAGAGATGATGTGACACTTTACATGATGCATTTTCAGCTCATTACTCCTTTAAAGAGGCCAAGCTGTGACAGTATGTTGCCGCTGGCTGTGAACGCAGCAGCTCAGTCTGCTCGGCTGTGCTTATTGAAATTGTGGCTGTAGATGTGGTTGCTGCTTGGACTTTGGCTGCGTTTGTAAATGAAGCTGTGGTGCTGGTGGATTTATATCTCCAGTAACTGTACTGTCACTACTCTTTGATGCTCCTATTAAGCTCACTGTGCACACGTCTCCTGCATGTAGTCAGTATTATGCCTGTTATTTTTCACTAGTTTGTAGCTGGTATAACAGCTGATGCCATAGCCACAATCAAATCAAATGAAAACAGACACTTAAGTAAAATGTTACAACTTTTTTCCAGGACACTGTAAGGCTTTTTCGCATCTGGCTTTAAGCTCAGAAGAAGTTTAAACAGGACTGCTGCTGCTACACTTCATTGCAGTTCCACCTCTTCTCACAAATATTTTCTCATTATATCAAAAAGACAAGTCACACCCCGCCACACCCCAACCCATCTGACTGACTCCTTCAAGTGCTGGGATTGACTCCTCCCTATAAACAGTCCTCATAATTTCAGGGTCAGCTGTGTTGCACCAGCAGTCCGTTCGTTTATGCCCCACTAACTGACCCTGTCGGTGCCACCGCGGGATTGTATTTCTGCCTTATTTGTTCGAAAAACAAACATTCAGCAGCGCGTCTCTGAGGACCCGCGCCATGTGTGCTGAAGTGTGTGTTTACAGCGTGGTGTGTGTTGTGTGCATTCCAGCTGTGCGTGAACATGACCAACGAGCGGCTGAGGCAGTACGTCTCTGAGGTGCTATTCCAGCAGGAGCACGCTGAGTGTCTGCAGGAGGGCATCGCCATGGGGACCCCCCGCTCCCCGAGCAACCACCCAGGCGTTCTGGACTTCTTTCTTCAGGTACTGTGTGTTTCTGGTTTGGGCTAGTCCAGTCCAGTTTGGTCTCCCTAGCACTACCTCACATTTTTCTGTCCATATCATGTCTAATTTCTCAAATAAACCCCAAAAACAAAGGGATGGGAGTGAATCCTCTCGGTATCAGAAGGGCAACTCTACTCTATGGGGATCAATAGAAATGTCACCAGGACATAATGAATGCCTATTATTATCAATTGTGCTTTGTAAATATGGACAACATAAATAACATATGAGCATCTGTTTATTCCTCCTCCAGAGGCCTCAGGGACTGCTGTGTGTGTTAGATGAGGAGAGCCAGAGCCTGCGGCCAGTCGAGCAGACCCTGTACAAGAGGCTGTCTGCCCAGCTGGACTCCAACCCGACTCACACCCTCTCTCTCACCACCAAGGACGGCAACGGGAACCCCCCACCCAAAGACCAAGGCCCTGCCTTCACCGTCAGCCACTATGCAGGACAGGTCTGTAATACAGAAAAACATATCTTGGTGTATAATCGTGGTAGGGTTGCACACTGGAACATGAAACCTATATCAAGATGAACACTTTTTCTCTGCCGAACACACTCTAGGTATATATTCTGAACTGTAAAATGTTAGATCCAAGATCACACATTAAATCTATTTTACATAATCCCATTGTAGGTATGTTTGCTAAAACAGAAAATTAGTTAAAAATAACTTCTGCAGTTAATAAAATAACACATTTATGGTTTCCATCTTCTGGTTTGCCTGTAAATTCTTTTGGTCACAGATTTGTATCCAGTTAATCCAGAAAAACAAGACAGCAGTTGGCATTAAGTTGTGGTTTTAATGGACATGCACACAATATTCAAGCCTTTCAGTTTAACTTTTGGAACTTAACAAAACCCCAAAACATTTTACTTCATTCTCTGACCTTGATAGCATATTTGCAGTTTAGCGAAGTCATGTTTGTCCTTTCTTTTGATCTTGATTCACTTAACAGTTGTGATACATACGAGCTATAAATTCTAATAACTCTCTATGACGTAAACTTTTACATTTAATGAATGTAACTTCTAATGGACATGAACGGACGTGCTAATGTGTTTGAACCAGGCATTATGAAGGGGGTAATAGTAATACATTACAAAAAATACAATGAATAATAGATCATAATGATGAAGTAATACAAATTCTTTGGAATAGAAGGTGGCAAGTGTGCGCAGTAAGAATGGACCATGCATTATTGCAGTAAAAAGGAACAAAAATCTCTTAATGCTTTTGTGAAATATAGATAAAACACTGTTATGTCTAGTCAACACCCTCACACTAATGATGTAGATGATTTCCATAAATACTTTTTTTTTTTTGTTTTACTACCACATCTTCTTCTAACTTGTGCTTTTCAGTGTAAACTTTTATATTGTGAGGAGTTTATGTCATAAGTACTATGTAAGCAGAAAAATGAATGTCCATGTATGGTTTGTTTTTCTCCCAGATTTCATATGACCTCACAGGATCGCTCACGAAAAACAAGGACTCCCTTCCTCAGAATCTGCTGTTTACGATGAAGAGTAAGTGCCCAGTGAATAGCACACATATGAGCACATTGTGGCGTCAGAGCACACTCCATCACAAAGATGCACTCTTGTATAAACAAACAGCGCACAAAACCGCTCCTTGTCTAAGCGTGTCTGCGTTTGTGTGTGTGTGTGCGCGTTTCATCCCATATGCGGCAGACAGCACCGTCTGTGTGTATATTGTCTATAGAAGGTGCCAGATGTGGGGTGTTGTGGTTAGCGGGACACAGGCAGCCGTTGTGTGACTGCCAGGCTGGCGTTGCGTCCAGCAGCCTAATTGCTATAATTTCCATGATGAGGCTAATCGTCTAAAGGCTAGCCCTTCACTCACACTTGGCTGTTGTCCCTCCGTCTGATGAGTTGATGCATCGCTGCCTTTCATCCGCACACAGACGTATACAAAGTCTTTGGGCCTTAAGTCTAAGCTAAGAGGAGGACAGAGGGACACAGTTGTGGGCACTAAATGTATTCAAGGGTGCCTTTAAGAACGATGCCATCAATATTTGTCTTCAGTTAAATTCATAAACAGTGCAGTAACAGTCACTGTAGATAGAATCATGATTCTTGCCGTATGTTTGGGGTCGTTGTCTTGATGCGTGTGATGTTAGGACTATTCAGACGCCTCCCTGATGCTCAATGAATCCAAAAGTGCCAAAGACTGTTGCAGCAGTCGATAGTCAGATGGTGACAATGAGTGCTTTAAATGAAAAGACAATTACCCTTGGAGCCGTGACTAATTAAGTCCTTAAATGAGTTCTGGACTCATGTTTGTTTTTCTTCGCCTGGTACGCCTACCTGCCGCCATCCTTTACCCTCTCCCTCTCTCTCCCTCTCTCTCTCCCTCCCTCTCTCTCTTTCTTTCTTTCTTTCTCTCCCTGCTTCGTCTTTCTCAGCCTTTCAGATGAGAGCCACACACCCACGTTCACACACATGTTGTTTGGCTTTCTGAATGAGCTCATTGTTGTTGTGGACCGCTCCACGTGTTGTGGAGTGACATGGTCCACCCCCTCTTGTTGCCTGACTTGATTGTTTACATGCAGCCTAACTTTATGCGTCCTCCCCACCTTCCTTCCCTCCTCTGATCCTTCTTTCCTTCCTTGTTTACATCCTGCTTTCTTTCTTTCTTACATCCTTCCTTCCTTTCTTTCTTACTTTCCTTTATTTCTTGCCTTTTTTTTCTTTCTTTCTTTCTGTCCCTCTGTTCATCCCATCCCTCCTTATTCTCCTCCACCCCCTTTCTCCACCAATGCTGTTGCTTCTTTTACCCTTATTTTCCTCCCTCTCTGCGTGTATGTGCTTTGTGCCCCGGCAGCCAGTGAGAGTGTGTTACTGCAGCAGCTCTTCCAGTCCAAGCTGACTCAGACTGGTTCTCTGGTGCCAGCAGCCCAGGGCCGCATAGGGCTGAGGGGGCCTAAAGCTGCCCTGTTGCTCCACAGGATGCCATCAGCCTCTCTGGTCAATGCCAGCTCTATCCCCCAACAGCCCCGGAGGTACCATGATCTTACCAAGGTACGGCATATTGTTCACAGAGGAACGAGTCCAGCACTGCAGTCTGTTGTTCGAACCGCTTCTGTCGCTGCACCCAACTCATTTGATTTTGAAATATATTTTTAGCATTTGGCCACATTTCTCACACTACCATTTGAAGCTAGATAAACAGAGCATAGGAACTGGTGACCTGAAGGAACACGGTCACTCACAAAGTCACACAGTCAATCAGAAGTTGTTTGTTGCAACTGTTCCAACTGACTGTCATGCCAATCAATGGAAAAACAGGGAAAGTATTTTTGGAAAAAAACAAGTCTAATTTAAGCTACTTCCCACTATGCTGCTATATATAAACCTCTGGGAATTAGATTTGTTTGTACATGCATGCAAGAGATAAGAACTCCACAGGCACGCATGCACATGCGCATAAAACGAGGGCAAGAGTGTCCTTACACACTTTTCTCACAAGATAAAACCATTAAAACACAAATGGCACACCTGGTAACTATATTTTTACACACCGAGTCCCGTTGTTCGGTCCATCATCCTCCCTTTTTCGGTGTCTCCCTCTCCATTTTATGTACCTTAGTGTTTTGGAAAGTGCAGCATAGTGGTGCACATGTGTAAGTAAAAACGCCTGCTGGTTGTGTAACCTCCAGGAGGTCCTGTCTGCTGTCTCTGTGGCTCATTAGCCATCTAGAGCAGCAGCTTACATAAGGCCCCTTTCACCTCCCTGATCTGTCCCAGCAGCCTTATACGGTAACATTAGGTAATATTGCTGCACTGCACAGTGTGTAAGACAGTAAACACAGCAGTGCAGCAATAAATGCCACCGGTCTCGTTGAAACAATATGAAAAATCATAACGGGGACTAAATCCTCCCGTGGGACTATTTAATGTGATTGCAAACACCGTACACAGCATCAAAGAGATCATCATTACGTTTTGATCACCCGTCAAGACCACACAGTCACGTTTGATGATAATATGTGTTGATAATGTTCCATATTCCGCAGTGGCTGATGTAAGATGCTTTGCTATCAAATATACATATTTTCTTTTATATCACTATCTCTTTCTTTTGCTAGATCTTGAAGAAAAAAGGCTCAAGCTCCTTCATCCAACGGCTAGAACGTTGCGGGCCCATCACAGTGGCTGTCCAGCTGAGGGTACGAACTGTTCTCATTGCATAGTTATGAAAAATGTCAGAATCTGTTGGCTGCAGGGTTCTTGTTGTGTTGCATTTGCATGTCTTCTGCATAAAATCAGCATAAACATTTAGTTTACTGTTTTGGTGACAATCAGACAAACCGCTTTGTTCATTTTACCTTTCTGAGTATCTGTTCGCTGCACAGTCACCTGCAAGAATCAGGATCAAATCATGCATTAATGCAAACATACTGCATGTTCGAACCCTCATCTCAAGAAATCACTGCAGCCGATGCATCCCTTTACAATAGCCGTCACAGCCTTCGCAACAATGCAACCCTAAGTTCTATTCAAAGTAAGCTACTGTGATTTTATAACTATATAAAGCAACAATAATATTCAGTTAGATGAGAGCAGCTCAGTGTCTTCTGGTGACGCAAGAAAGCTGAAATGTGGTTCAGAAAAGCAGTACCTTTGGTCTGAATGAAACCAGTGTGTTGCACAATCAGAGTTGTGGACTTGTGGTCGACGAGTCCCTCAGGGAATGGCAGGGAATGAGAGAGTGGGCTGAAGAATGATGCTGTACCAAGCCAAACATGAACCCCTCCACATGAATGAATGAACAATGAACAACAACCACTGTGTGCGTATTTGTGTGTATGCGTGTGTGTGTGTGTGAATGCGGGTGTTGGGGTGAGGTATTGAGCATTGTACCTAAGGGTATGCAGCGCACACATTGACGTCAGTTCGAGGAGTGGCAAGAACGCAGATGTAAGTGTTTACGTGTATGCGTCTGTGCGACCTTGGATGCAGCATCTTTGAATTCAGGGGTTTGAAGAAAAGTTCTCTCACACTCGTACGCACTTGGAAAGAGAAAATAACTCTTTGTGGTGTTTTTTTTTTTTTTTTGCTTCCTCCAGAGGCAAATCACACACCCAAAAAAATCAGACCACTTTGTCACAAACATGATGTAATCTTACTTCAGTCACTGTAGCTCAGAAATCAAGTTCGAACATCAAAAGAAGCCAGAGGGCTTCACTCACACTTGGCTGTTATCTCTCAGTTTGATGAGTTGACGCAACGCTGCCTTTTATCAACGTACAGACATATAACATGTTTTTTTCTTTTGGTTTTGTTTTTTATGGGTACCATCCCCTTTTCATTTTAAGTTTAAGCCTTAAAGCTAAATGGAAAAATCACAGCGTGCAAGTTGTAGGTATAAAAAGGAAGGTGTGGAGGCTTTTAAAAATGACGCCATGAGAGTTTCTCACTTCAAACTGGAGTTTGGAACACCTTCCTGAAGATACTGCTTGATGACTCAACATCTAAACGTGCAAAGTGCTTCAAATTTTCGCACCGTCAATATTCAAGTGGTGGCAATAATTACTTTAAATGAAAAGACAATTACGGTTGGAGCTGTGACTAATTAAGTCTTTCATTGAGTTCTGGACTCATTTTTGTTTTTCTTGCCATTATCTTTTACCTGCTTCTTCTTTCTTGCTTTCTCAGCCTTACAAATAAGAGCCACACACATATATTGTTCAGCACTTACCACACACAAACAGCCACAGGGCTCTTCTGACCCAAACCAAATAAATGTTAATTTGAGTACAACTTGTTGCTCATTCGGTTGTAAAATTACCGTTGAGTGCCTTTGACTATTTCCTCTCTCCTTCCCCCTCTTCCAGAACTCGCTGTCGGAGATGATCAGCAAGCTGCAGGCTTGTACTCCCCACTTTGTGGAGTGCGTGCGCCCAAACTCCACCGGTCAGCCGGACAGTTTCGACAGCTTCCATGTGTCCACCCAGCTGCAGTACATCGGGGTACTGGAGATGGTGCGCATGATCCGTTATGGATACCCTGTCCGCCTGTCCTTCCCAGGCTTTCTCAGCAGGTCAGTGCAGCAGTTATATAATTAATATGCCATGTGCTGATTCATTAACTTCTTCTCTCTCAGCTTCTTCTTTAACAGAAAGGTCTTAAAGATGATGTATTGCTCTGCTTCTTCTCTTTGTCTTGTCTCGCTGATCTCAGTTGTTCAGATGCATTACGCTCCCAGCAGGTCACTGTGATCTCCGTCACTTTATATATGACAGGCCCAGCGGGTCAAAGTAAGCAGAAAGTTGGACAGCATGTGCCTCCACTACATCTGCAAATGAATGCATGGGCATATAAGATACAGTATCACGCGCTCACAAGCGGACAGACGCATTAGCATTGAAAAGTCACAGCAACCTTTATTGCTAGAAGTGCAGTTTGACCTTGAATGTCTTTTTTTTGAGTGTGATGGGAGACCGTTGCTGCTGATGACTGCCACTATCACATTTCCCATGTCAGCCTGACACGCAGGCATTAACCAGTCAGTTGTGTGTAAGGTCACAATGTCCCGCACTTAAATTTTTGACATAGTTACTCCCCATCACCTGCTTTTATTTGTTTTGTTTTTTTAATTCTTTCACTATGTTCCTGGCTTTCTGCAAAGAGGCAGATCCCGCTCACCCTCCTTAAATTCACTCTTCGACTTTATCCTTCTAGCATTTGTGTGTGTCTCACAGGTTTTCCCTTTTTTGTTGAGAAGCAAAAAGAATGATGCGATTCTGTAATGCCACCTCTCCTCCATTTCTCCATCTCACTTCGTCTCCCTCCCAGTTTGCCTATTTGTCTCGGTCTTCCTCACCGTGTTCCTCTGATTCTGAGAACCAGCAGAATACTGAGAGGATTTAGCTCTAAGTCTCTCTCTCTCTCTCTCTCTCTCTCCTTCTTTCTCCTATCCTCAGTCTGTCTCTCAGCCTCTCGCTTCCTCTCTTTTTGAGGATAAAGGGATTAACATGAACATTCCTGCCAGATAATAAGAAACGACAAAGCTGGTCACATGATGCCCCCCCCAAAAGTTTCCACTACTCTGCTGTAAACATCATCACATCACCACACACACACACACACATAAAAAAAAAAAAAAAAAACACATCTCTTCATGTGTCAAACTATAGGAAAAGGTGAAATGGATCGAGATCCTCTTTATTACTGCTGTTAATACAGTTTTAAGCAGAAAGACTTTTCTTAATTGTCTAAATTGAATAAGAGGGGATAAAGAATTTTAATGCGAAATAAAAAACCAAGGCTTTGGCTCACAGTATAATTTGGTAAGAATTTCTGGTCAGACATTTGGTCCTGAATTCATTTTCTACTGGGCTGGTAAGCAACACTCAACTAGTAAAGGGAACGAAAAAAGAAAAAGCATCCACACAAACATGGATATCCTATAAAAGATGGAAATTCATAACATGTTTTTGTCACAGATATGTACTACTTCTTGCTCAAACATACACACAAGTGTGCTTGAGCCCTGACAAGAGGCTTCCGTGATTGAAAACCTGAACAGAGAATTGAATCTGGAGAAGCAGACTTATGTCAAATGATAAAGTGAATCTATTATAGATCCATCCATAAGCCTCCACAAGAGTCTTTGTATGTTTTTCGGGAGAACCAATGCTGTCATTGTTCAAGCTGTAATTGAAAGAGTCCTGGCGAGACTCTGTTTGTTAAGCCGCGTATGTGTGTGTGTGCGTGTCTTTGTGAGCAAGTCCAGTATGTGAGTCTGTGAGATAGTTTTAGGCAACCATATGTTGTATGATAATCTCCACGTTAGCGGTAGGTGTGACCAGCAGATAACTGAGCACCACAAGGGCCAATTGGTTGCCAGAAAGAGGAAACCGTTGTTGGGCTGGGCATGAGAAGGGTGAGGGGATAACAGCCATAAGAAAAAGTGTGTGTCGATGTTGTGTGTGTGATTTTTTTTTTTTTTTTTTTTAACTGGTCAGACAAAGGTTGAGGTGATTGTGGTTGTCATGAACACAAAGTCAGTGACACAAATTAAGACTTGTTGTAGTGGTTTATGTGGTTCCCTGCTACCCTTAAAATGTGGTTAGAATGCTTTTCTATTGCAATAATGTCCTGTTAGAGATGTTTTCACTGAGTTCTGAATGGTTTATTTTTTCACTGCCACACAGTTTGCACACACTTTTAGATGAGATGTAGAACATGTGGTTCCTAAACAAGGATAAATCAATACAGTTAGCTTGACATTTCCTTCTACTATGCACATATGCAATATATGTGTGCGTGTCAGTGTATGGGTATGCAGATCAGTCTACACAACTCAAACTGTAACCATAAACCCATGGGCAACAAACAGTCTGCTCTAAACAAACATACGAATAGCTGAAGCTGTAGCTCTCTTGGTAGTGTAGAACCCACTGGTTAAAATGAATGCTTCTCATGACAAGTTATTATGAACTTTGGATAAAATAAGAATGATTATATTTCTCAGGTAGGTTGGCAGTAAATGCAGCAGGTTGAAGAGTCTGTTAGTGCAAACAAAAAGTATGAAACCTTAAACAACTCCACTGGTTTGGGAAGCCACCAAAACAAGACTTAATGAGGACTGACTCCACAACAGTGAATTGAATCCGGTAGAGAGCCATATTTCTGGATTGATTTCCAGCTTTGGAGGAAGCTTTTACATCATTTCCTGATGTCCTTCCCTTCTTTGTCCATTAGCTGCTCCTCAGCCAGTAAACCAAACTAACCAAACAAACAACAGGCTGAGAGGAAGGAATGTCACAATAACACTCTTAAGCAGCTGTTAGTTACGACCCAAAGAGTTACAACCCAAATAACATTTAAGCATCTCTTCTGTGGCAGACATGCCTTTGACGATTTTTTTTTTTTTTGAGGTAAGTTTTCAAAATTTCTCTTGTATGTAGGTATAAATCAGTGACATGCAGTGAAGTTCATGTCTGGAGAGGCACTGACCTCATCAGAATCAGATTTCCAAATAGAGTAGCTCATTTGCCATTTGATTGGCAGCAGTTTACAGATATTGTTTTACATCTGCATTCTTTACACATACAAACTGTAGCCCACAAAACGCACATTTCATTAAAAAAAAAGAAAGTTATTGCGGTCTTACCTTTACTTTTAAATGCAGTCCATGCTCCGCTCCTTGTGGACAAAAATATTTGTTACTTTTTTGTAAAAGTCTAGTTATCGTCCTTCGCTGCACTTGACTTGCTAACTGTATATCGTACCTAGTCTAGCTTGCTGTCACTTACTATGCAGCCACGGAGTCACATGAGGAATGTCTGGGATCACGAGCGCCCCCGGTCATGAGGCAAGAGAACTGCCTGCTTCACCTAGAACCTCTTCTTAGCTGTTTGTGATCACTTAGCACACGAAACACGTTGCACACATGCAGTTGGTAACAAAAAAACACTGTACATTGTTATATTCATCAGCTGAACTATGGAAAATCAGTTCATATATTAAATGTGTTTGAAACGTGTTATTGGCGACATCCAGACAGCAGCACACTGTCAGTGCAGGCAGCCAGCAGGGAGCGAGGGATTGCACAATCCAAGGTGAGGCTCAGTGCATCTCTTCCAAGCATTTGGATGGGAAATTGCGAAAATTCAGCGATTTGAAATTTTTAAAAAGTCATCAAAAGTGGTGAGGCTACATGAAAAAATAAATATTTTATAGTACAAATCACTGGATAAATATAACCATTTTTTTGGTGAGGCTCTGCCCAGACTGCACATCACTGGTTTAAATGCTAAATGGTCTGTACTGATATAGCACTTTTCTACCTTAATGGTTCTCAAAGCACTTTAGAGTGTTTCCCATTCACACACCAATGGCGACAGAGCTGCCACACAAGGTGCTCACCAGCCAATGGGAGCAACGACGGGTTCAGTGTTTTGCCCAGAACGGTTCAGCGTGTGGAGGGAACCGCCAGCCTTGCAATTAGTGGACAATCCGGTCTACCACCTAAGCCACAGCCACCCGTGCATTCAGGTTTATATGTCAGAGTGGTAGAAGTTAGGGGATATAACATGAGACAAACCTCTTTTCCTCGTTACATTTATGGACATTCAGTTTAGCACATTTCCAAGTCACTCAAAACTGATTGGAGTACAGTTAAACCCAGACAGTTGTCAAAGACTGAATCACTGTGCAAGAAAAAGACGAGTGAGGGAGACCTCCATGACAACCATGAGTCCTCTGAAGGAGGGATGACTTTTGCAATCACTTCTTTTGCATTTTATTTTGAATTAATTGAAATCATGTTGTAGAAATTGGTTTTCACCTTGACACAGAAGAATCTTTTTTTTTTTTTTTTTAAATTCTTGTCAAAATAAAAGCCAGGTTATACTTTTTAAAGGCACTGTAGCGTGTACTTCCACCATTTGGCCATCAGGACAAACATATACGTAGAATTTTGTGAAGAACATAATGCACCAAGGCCTCAAATACAGCTGGGACATTAGCCAGTCTGAAGTGTTAGGCATTGTCTTCCACTTTTCTCCCTCCTGAGGCTGCAGAGGCTGATTTTAATAAACCAAAATGCCCACAGATGTTTCAATCTAGAGCCCAGATATAGGGTGCCTGAGCAGTTCATTGATATTATACAGAGGACAATATTTAGCACATGGGTGGAGAGAACCATAATTTACATAAACAAAGAAGAAACTTGCACCAGCTGGTAAAGTAGGTGGATGCATAAACCTCACCTCCAGAGCCTCTTTCATGTATTCCTCCATGCCAGCTGTCTCTGGAGTGGAGAGGGAGTAGAGGTGACCCAGAAGTGGACAATTACTGTACCAGAGTGAAGCTCCATTGTCAAACAGACAGCGTGATGGTCGGGTGGTTGCTTGCTTTTGTGCAGGACACTTCCTCCACGCTGAAACCTAAATCACCCTCTTGACTTGTCAGAGGTTGTCAGTCCCCTCCAGCAGGAATCTAAGGTCCAATCCTGGTGTCCAACCTCAACGGAGTCACAGACTTCGAGGCGTGTTCCCACTAAATCCATGGGGGCTTAGAGCTGTCCCACTG